AATTTGACAATTTTAATAGTTTAACAAAACTAATGGTGACCATAGATATAACTCAAAATTTATTTAAAACTCACTTTACAAAACAATTTTTAAATTTTACTCTAATAAAATTTTAAATTTATAAAAAAAAATAATACTTTTTTAAATATATATATTTTATCTTTTACCAGACATTATCTTATCATACAGAGGCAGTAATTCATCGACTCAAATTCAAATTTGTTTATCTTTATTTCTTGTTTCATTGACCAATTGACTTAGAGGGCGAAGAACTATTTGGGAAGGTGGCATTTGTGCTAATCTTCTTTTCTTCTGTTGACTCCTTTGGATTACTGTAATCTATATAATGGTTCGGTAATTACTCATTTTCTAAGAAAATTTAATCCAATAAGAATAATGCTTGGTGTGTTAATTAAAGTTACACAAATTTTTAATCCAACATCACATGTGAGAATTCCCTTTCCATTTAACATAACTCAATTACTATGATGCATGTTTTTATCGCTTAAAATTTTGAATTATTATTTCAATAATAATACACCGAAAAGGCTTGATATGTTAATGTGAACAAACCTATCTTGCTGCGAACTGGTTTGAGTGGCTGACCAAGGAGTCAAGCCGTCTCCAAATTATCGAAAGGAACAAATTAAAAGAAGATATTCTCTTTGTCAAAAAAACCCTCCATTAATTAATGTTTTCAAGTCAGGACAATCATTTAACAACCGAATAATGAGAGTTGAATATTCAGCATTGGATCAGCTAATCAGTGAGAAAATCAATGGCTGTAATCAGGTGAGGATGAGTAACTAGTCACAGGGGAAAGCAATCACTTTGTTTTCTGTTTCTTCTTCATTCTACTAACCAAAAATTCACCATCCGAATCCTCAGAGCTTCCTTCTTCAGCTTCACGTTTCTTAGACTGCTTTGAGGCAACTCGGGTGACTGTTGTTTTCTTTTGACTTGAAGAAACTGGGGAGGATGGAACTGTTTTCTTAACAGTTGCAGACTTGGTTACACTCTTTACAGCAGAAACAGATTTCTTTGGTGAAGTCAACTTTTGAGCCTGAGTCTTCTTCTGTTTCTTCTCTAAGACTTTCTTTGCTTCTTCAATGGCAAGCAGACCAGACTCCATCATCCTGCAATTTACAGGCTTCATTAGAAAGACTTTGGGGTAATAGAAGACAGAGCATAATAAAATTAAACAATTAACAGAAGCAGAATCATCAAGATTATAGAGTTAACAATAGAGCCCAGAATTCCATAGGTTTTCAGAGCTGGAAGAGGTTGACCAAGGCATTGGATTTAAAATTGTGAATTTACAGGATTGAATCCCAAGATTATGAATGACTTTCAGCATTAGAATTCGAGTAAAATGTATGATAATTGATAAGGGATTTAAAATTGACATTCAACTTATCAGGAGTGCCGCTATTTTGCAAAATAGGTTTTGTTTAAATACACTAGAACAATTTTAAATTTCAAGATTAACATGAAATTAACTGAAGCAAAAAGCTGAAACAAGTAGCAGGGCAGGAAACAGGCATCTGAAACCGAAAGTTCTAATTGGAATATGATGTTAACATGGTTAGGTTATTATCCAAAGAGCAAGGCGATACAGCTTCAAGAGAAGTCAACTCCAGTAAATTCAAATACAGGTGCAAGAAATCTTATAAATTATAGAGAGGTCAGAGGTGATATATCATGGATCTATGACTGGATAATATCAAAAAAGTACCTAAGGATGTGCTTACATTTTTTTTTTTTTTTTTTTGGGGGGGGGGGGGGGCGGCAGGGCGGCAAAGGCATATGCTTACAAAAATACAGGCAATTATACATCTAGCCATCACATAAGCTGATTACACAGCAACAAAGTGACATATATAATAAAAGAAACAACCAAATAACATAAAGAGAAAAATTAACCATACATGTAGAGATAGATGATTTGATTCAATAAAAGAACTGTCTAGTTTCTTTTCCTTTTCTATTACATGATGTCTCTTGCCTTTGTTCATTTTCTATTTACCATGACACTAGGTGTTGGTTATTACGTCAATATTGAAAGAACTTGAAAAGGGTAGAAACTAAGAAAGAAATCCTTCTTTTTCCCAATTCACCATTCCCACCAACCCCAAGTTTATGCAGGTTCTGATAATTGAATAATAGCTCAAATGTAAACAGAATTGCATCAAATAACCATTAATAGTATCAACCAAAAAAGAAACCACAGTTAAAATGTCTCACCAGATTTGTGCCATTTCGCTCTTGGGGTTATACTTAAACAGGGATTCATAAAAAAGCCTCAGCGGATCTCTCTGAAATTGAAGGACACAACAACAAATATCACTCAAAGGAAAAGCGTCCAAGCAAACTAATCCAATTTAAGAGGAATAACATAAAGCACGAAATCAAGCCTATATACCTCTTCTGGAGCATCTCTCTTCTGACCAGGCAAATCATAAACCTTCCTCTGCTTCTTCTCCTTCTTCCCATCCTTCTCCGCTGCCATTTTCTTCTCTTCCTCCTTCTTCTTCCTCTTCTTCACCTCCTTCATCAATAACAATGAATAACAGTAATGAAAGAACACTTTTATTTGATGAAAAGCTCAAAAACTCTCCTCCTCTTTTATTATTATTTCAATTTAAAAGCATTACTCAATTATTGAATTCTTGCCATTTTCCCTTCTCTTTTGCCGTAACCAAACAGAGAAAGAAGAAAATTTACATCCTAACTACGAGAGAAATCACATCATAAGTAGAAGAAACCTTATTGGGTTTGGTGGCGGAGCCCCTTTTGGGCTTGACTGTATCATCGCCGTCATCGTCATAATCACTCTCCTCCTTCTTCATCTTGGCAACCATGGAGCGCGAAGCGGAAGAACCCTTAATGGGTCCATCAAAATCGTCAGAATCATCATCTTGGGGCTCTTCTTTCTTCACTTTAGCTTCCTTGGAGCTCGATTTCGCCGTCGAAGTAGCAACATTGCTCTTGTTACTTGCGGGTTTCTTCTTCCGGTTTTCAGGAATCGCACTCAAGCTCTTCTTCCCCGGTCCCTCCTCTTTCACTTCCTGCTTCACGGGCTTTGTATCCTCAGACGGCATTGCTGAATTTTCGAGTATTTGCAGAGTAAAGTTTCGATTTTTATATCAAAGACGAAGATTGTGAATCAGAAACGTGAACTGTGTGAAAAACCCTTCAGCCTCCTTGTTCCTGGCTTGTTTCCGCTTAAACACAGAGAAAACGCGCCGTTTTGGGATGTAAAAAGCCCTAACGCAAACAATGCACACAAAGCATGAGTATACGGCCCGGGTCTTGCCTGAGAATGGGCTCATACCAGCCTGAACGATCCCATTTATTTTAAATGATGCCACGTTTTTTAATCGATATATTTTATTTCATGTCTGTACAGTTCGGATTGATTTTAGACCGAAACAGACACCCAAACCGACTCCTTAACCTGGAATCAGGGTCATGACTACCGAATTTCAACATTCATTCCCTTAATGAACGTTTTTTTTTTTTTTTTTTTTTTTTTTTAATGTTATAATTATAATATTATATAATAATATAAATTTATAATTATGATATCATTATATAATTATTTTTTATTTAAATGTCCACTCTTAATATTACATTTGTTTACTCATTCAATAATAAATTATGATTGTAAATTTATAATTTAATGTGATTTTTTCTTTTATTAATGTTAATTTTAACTTAAAATTAAACATAAAAAAATAAAATACTTTTAACTAACCATTGAAAACAACTGGAAAAAATAAACTACATCAAATGAATATGGAAAAAGGATAATAGTAAATAAAAAATCGAAACTAAGCATGTTAAAGTATAAAATAATCAAAATCAAATATGAGACTATGGTTGTTGCTAGCTAGGGCGAAATTCATGCCTAAGTTGTTTTTCCGGCATGGTAGCTCCAGTTACATATGTCATAGTTCACTGGATAGTTATTCTTGTGATTTTTTTTTTTTTTTAATTTTTTGAAATGTCTTTTAATTTTAAGTTTAAGCTTAATAAATTCAGAGTTTATAGGATTTGTAGGGACTTCTCTCTATTGAAGCTATTTTAACCTATTGTTTAAGAAAAAGTTTTTAATGTATATCAAACCTTAAATTTTGATTCTATTTACTTAAAATAACGAGATTTTAAAGTTAACTATGATAACGTGTTTCATGATTAATTTATTGTCTTCTCATAAATGTCAAATTATATAAATTTAATGACAAATTAGGAATAAAGCAGAAAAAGAGAAAGGACGTACGGTAATGCATTTGGTTAGACTTTGGATAGAATGGAGAATGGAGGAATATAAGGATTTATTGAATATTTGAATTGGGGCTTTAGGAGAAAAGAAATGAGAGAATTTATAGGTGTGGGTTTAGGTTGGAGGAAGCGATAACGTTTAGGAGCATTTAGTGAATTGATTTTCCTATGGAGGTCCGGTTCAGTTATATGACTGTTGGCTACTGGTTAAGTGCTCAAATTGGATAATTGGTTCGGTTACCCTTAATTATTATTATTATTATTATTATTTTGTTTTTTTCATCATTTTCTGGACCCTTAATTGGTACCTAATAGCAATGTATTATAGAATTTGCATTAGATTTCGCACACTCCATGTATTAATTTAGTGCATTTACTTCTCTCTTCTTCTTTTTTTGTATTAGTTATAAAATTTAAAACTTAGATCTGATTTGTAAGAAAATATTTGTTTATTAGTGGACTAGATCCAACATTTGAGGGTTAAAAATTTTGCTCATTGACTTAATAGAAACGCGAATATATTCCTCTTCTTCTTAGTATTTATTTTTTTCGAATAAAGTGACAAAATCATTAGCTTGGTATCGATTCTGACAGAAATGCCATGTGTCCAAAACCAAAAGGGAGAATCAGAAGTGCAGAATTTGTTCCAAATAAAAGCGAAATGTTCCTTGGTTTCATGTGCAATATATGCAGGAGGAGAAGGTAGAAAGAACACTGAACAGAAAATGGGTTGGTTTTTCAGGGAAAGAAGAGGTCCTGCATGGAAGCAAGGATGGGCACAGCAAACAATCTCCTCCATATCTCCACCTCCTTCTCCTTTGCTTGCCTTACTTGGAATCATATGCCTTCTCCTGTTGCTTTCATCTTACGTGAACTACAAAAAAGAGGTACACCACTCCATCCTCAACTTGAAGCTGTTCCTTTTGTTCCTGCCTGTGCTCTTGATCTTGGCCACAAAATATGTCAGCAGGTTTGAGAGGCTTGTGATTCCTTATGGAAGAGCAAAGCGGGAGTTGGAATACCGCACCAGGGACATGCCATGGGGGATGGTGGTGCTGGTGGCACTCCTTCTGGTGATGCTCTCTTACCAGTCTTACTTTCACTCCTTGTGGTCTCCAAATATTTGGAGGTCGTATTACTAGCTAGTCTTTTGGGATGGCCTGAAACAAGTTTTTATATTTTGTAAGAGTTTTGAATGATGTATGTATGAATATGAAGATGTTTGTTTGAATGGTTATCTATCTATCATCATATGCTCATAGAACCTCACCATGGAATATATTTATTCAATAAAAAGGAAAATTTACAAGGATGTTTCTTCCAAGGTAATAAACTTTCATTATATAGCCAGATAATACAAAAAATACATCAATAGCCAATATACTGCAGAAGCCTCAATAAACAACAACTGGTATATATCCATGAATTGCTAGCCCTGTTTGAACTTATATACACAGGATACAAACACACAAGGATGCTTGAGGGTCATTTTAAACGAGATGACTTCAATTTGGGAACTTTAAACGTAGATGAGAACAAACTTGGAGTTTCGTCAATGAAAACAACTTCATCCACTCTTCTCTTCGAATCTTTGCTTCCCTGATTGACAGAAAAGAGAAAAGTAATTAAGATACTGAAAACATTATCTACTTTAGTTATTTCAAATGAATGTCCGGGAATTGAAGATTAAAATCGCACGGGAAAGGCAACAGTGAAATGTATGTAAAATTATTAGTTCAATTTTTTGGTGCTGAAAGTAGGATAGAGCAAAACTCAGTTTTCAATTTCAAGGCTGAGACTGAATCCAAGCCGCCAGCTAAATTCACAAAGCCTCAACTTTCAAGAATCATGTATAAACTACAGTCAAATTGTCATTGCAAAACACTGCTGTATTAGATTAACAAAATGGTTTAATACTTGTAAATTGTAAATCATGGTGTGAAAAACATATGGCAGACTTTGCACAGCATGTTTAACATACAGATTAACAGCAATGTGCTATCAGAATAATCAACAGTTGCATGATACTAATTCCTAAGTACCTTATCGCTGTTCTTCAAAGTATCAGAGACTTGATCAGCAGATGATGCTTTCTTGACACCATTTCTTTCGTCCCTGCTTCCTCTAGCTTTGCAACGTGTTAACATGGGTGTGACAGAGGCAATTCTGGACTTTAATATGTTCAAATCAGCCTCCTTTTGAGACACTTCATCTGTTAATCTCTCAATTATTTTATCCTTTTCAATATTAGACGACTTCATCTCTTCCATACTGGAAACGAGTGCCTCAATTTTCTTGTTTGCTTCCTTCAGTTTGGCATGCTTGCCCTGTAATTTATCGGTAAGCACACTTTCCAGATGATTATATTGATTCCACACAAACTTATTCTCTGACAGAAGTGCAGAAATCTGAGAACTTTTTTCCGAAGTAGTATTTTGATATTCAAGCTCTTTTCCTCTTACGTTGCCTTCCAATTTCCCAGAACTACCAGATATTGAGCTGCTATCCTTGCCCGCAGCTACTCCTTCGTTAGTCTCTGTGGGGTTCCTTTGAGAAATATCCTGCATAGAACTGAAAACTTAAAAACAATTTCCTTTAGAAAAGGAATCAACTTGAAAAAGGTACGATATCCACATGACATACTTTTGGAGTTTTAGTAAGGAAGTCGAACCAGACTCTAAAATCACCCAAAAAATCCTCTGCTTCCTCTGCATCAGGTAATTGATAAAATCAATTTGCACCCCAGAACAAAACCAATCTAAAAAATTCAGTTCAACACGAAGAAATTGCACTTCAATCACAGAAACAAAGAGAGATGCATACCTAATTTCCATCTGCAAAGAGAAGCCTCTTTCTGCTTCATACCCACCAGGAATTCTCCTTTTGATGCCTCAACCAAGCATTCCATCTCTTTGGCTTCTAAATTGCGCTTCATCTACACAAAGAATAGACACAAAAGAAACCATCAACCCTCCAATTAAGCTAAAAACTCAAAATCTAAACAAAACCATAAAAACCTAATTTCCAAACCCCCCCCCCCCCCCCTTAAAGATTGGGTTTTACCCGAGAGATGTGATCTTCATAGAGAGAAAAATCAGATTCCCACCGTTCCTGCTGCATTCTAAGGCGATCCACCAAGACTTTTCTCTCTTCTACGAGAGTTTGAAGCTGTTCTTGTTGCGATTGCAGCATTTTAACCAACCCGTTAAAGATTTTATCCCATTTTTCCCGATCTGAGGCCTCCTGAGAACGCGCTTTTGCACCCATTCTGGGATTACAGTCGCTAAATCACACAGAAGAAGAAGAAGAAGAAGAAGAAGAAGAATATTTTGGGGAAGAAATTAGCGAGATTTTCAACGATCCTGAGTGACAACAACGACGATCTGAAACTGGACCGTTGCAATCGAAGAAATTCTCAACGGTCGATTTTTGCCGATAAAAATGTAAAAAATTCCCGTGTCTAACGTGGGCCAGTGTTGCCTTCCGCTTCCTATTGGGTTCTTTTCTGCGCCCACCCGGGCTTTGTCAAACATTGGGCTCATCGGATATAGAAACACAACACAATTTGGGTCTAGAAGAATGACCTCTGGACTCTGTTTGGGTGGAAAACTATACCTTCAGAAAAGTAAAGTACGATGCGATCCGCCTTAACCCAACTGCAAAACAAAACAGCATTCTCTAAATTATTATGATATATGAGTGTTGAACCGTTGAATCTGTTGGACCGTAAGAGATGTGGGTGTGCCAAAATTCCATTTTCATAGGTACTGGTTTGGTGGTACGGTTGGCCCAACCTTTCCTTGAATTTCCGTTTTATTGAGTTTATATAGATCATGTAAGCCGTTGGATCCTAATCAAACGGCATTGGATCAGACCAGATCAACATTATATTTTAATCGAACGGGTAAGAAAAGTGTTACGTTTACACTCAACTCCCACGTGATTTCTCTCATATATTGAAAAGTTGCGTCACGGCGTTCAATAGCAACTCTCCACGTGTATCTAACTCGACTCAAGTTGTCCGAAAACTTCACAGTTCACACCGTCACGCAAGTATATATCTCGTTTTCGCCGCGTGAACTGCAAGACCGGAAGTTGTGGGGGAAGTGACCACCGGAGAAAGGAAATGAGGGCAACGAAGAGGACGATCCACGAGGTGTCGACATGGGTGCGGCGGCAACCTCCGAAGATCAAGGCAGCTCTAGCAGTGGTGGCGGGGATTGCGGCTCTGCTGTTCCTGAGAATGGCGGTGCAGGATCACGACAACCTCTTCGTCGCTGCCGAGACTGTTCATGCCCTCGGTATCTCCGTCCTCATCTACAAGCTTACCAAAGAGAAGACTTGTGCTGGTACCTTTCTTCTCTTCTCTTCCAAGCCCCTGGAATAGTTTCTATCTTGTTAGATTAAATTGCTGGATTTTGGTCTCGTTTGAGGTGGATCAATTGGGTTGCAAAGAAAAGGGGATTTTGAAATGTTGAACTTTGCAAGACATATAATTTGCTAATTCCTTCTGATGGTTTAGAAATTGTATGGAAAAGTTCAGATTGCCTTAGTTTAGTTCCAAATTGTATAAAAGCTTTCATTTTGTTTAATTATGTTCCATCAATGCCTCATTTTCCTCCTAATTTGGTGTAGAAAAAATGGTTAGTTAAGTCAATTGTTTCGATGATAATGTTTTGCTTAATCTAGATACTGGTTTTCAAATAACTGCTTAATTCTAGTTACTAATGTTGTCTCTTTGCAGGTCTTTCACTTAAATCACAAGAACTAACAGCTATTTTTTTAGCTGTTAGGCTCTATTGTAGTTTTGTCATGGAATATGACATACATACTTTACTCGATACGGCAACATTTGGGACAACCCTTTGGGTTATTTATATGATACGTTTTAAACTTCGGTCTAGTTACATGGAAGACAAAGACAACTTTGCAATATACTTTGTGGTAAGCCTTCATTCCTTACTCATTGTTCATGTACCACGTGACCGTTGTGTATTTGTCATGTGTATCATGATGATTTAATGTATTTAATTCACGCACCCCATGATGGTCCTAAGTTGGTACTTTTACAAGTCTCTGACTTTGTTGTATAATGTAGTTCGGGAACTTCAGGTGATTAATAGCTATTAGATAGTTTAGATTTGATTTCTGGAGTGCTGTGCTTTGTGTTGAGTTCATAAAGACTTCTGCCTGCATATGGTTTGCCCATTCAGGAGTTTGTCTGGTACATTCATTGTTTAAAAGAATGCATTTTTTCCTTGTTGGGATCTCAACATCTTCCCATGAAAAATGAAAAGCCTTTTTATTTGTCTCATGAATGGGTTATAGGTACATTAAGATTTATTTATTTATTTGTTTTCTACTGCAGTTAGCATTCTACATATCCTAAATTTTGGAAAGACAAGAATATATAATTTCATAGGGATTTCTTTGAACTCTAACAAATGATTGATAGTGTTTCTTCATTAGGTTGAAATGAGCATAAAGATGTCACAAGCTTTTGTTAAGTTGGTGGATTTCACTTCTGCATTTAACATTTTTGATTTATCAACATTTGTCTATGTTCTTTGAATCTTTTTTATTACTAAGAATATTGGCTTTACCTTCTTATAGGTGGTCCCCTGTGCTGTTCTTGCTTTGCTGATTCATCCATCAACAACGCATCACATATTCAACAGGCTTTGCTGGGCTTTCTGTGTTTATCTTGAAGCTGTTTCAGTCCTACCTCAACTACGGGTCATGCAGAACACAAAGGTAAGGCAGAAAGAATCACATACTAGTCTGTTCTCTCAGATTGATGGTGTATGATAATGCCTTATATAATGTTTAATTTACAAGGGTGACAAAATATTACATTGCACATGGAAATTATGCTTCTTATCAAGCTTACCCCTTTGATTTTCAAAGAAGGAAAGTTTACCCACAAATCATCCTCTCTTTTATACCTTTTTCAGATTGTTGAACCATTCACGGCACATTATGTGTTTGCACTGGGAGTTGCAAGGTTCTTGAGTTGTGCACACTGGATCCTCCAGGTATGAACCTATAGAACTGGTGTAAGGATGATCCATGACTCCATGTTGACTTTTAACTTTCTTTTTAATCATAAATGTATGGATTTAGATCTATTTTACAAAATGATTGTTCTGTGTTGTTTAGCTTGTTGATTGTCAAAAGTATGATTGTTCTAGGTATTGGAGACTAGAGGACGCTTATTGACCGCCTTAGGTTATGGATTGTGGCCTCCCATGGTCTTGTTCTCAGAGATTGTCCAGACTTTCATACTTGCAGATTTTTGCTACTATTATGTCAAGAGGTGGGTAGCATGCATAAGTCTTGCTCGTTGTCTTCATCTTTAAATCTCCTAACCACTATCACTCATTCTAAAACTTATTTTTTCCATTTTTACAGTGTTGTTGGTGGACAGCTCGTTCTACGACTGCCCTCTGGAGTGGTATAAAATTTGAGTTTTTTCATGTACCTTTGAAATCAGGTGTTTTTTGCCTGCTCTTCAAGGTCCATTCCAGGGCATTTACCCGATCAGAATAGTTGTATACTCCTTGTTCTGTTTTGCAGCCAGCTATTAGAGTAAAGCTCAGTAAGGCAGACTGTAAAGTTGGGAATCATTACATTTTGAGTAATGAGTAACGAGTAACTTAAGGTTTTAGACTCATTTCACCTTTTCCACTTCAACTAATGACTTTATTGTACCAGCACTAGTATTTAAGATACAGGTTAGTAGATCCAATTGTTTCCTTCTTAACACGACCAAGGGTTCAGCTAGTAGAGTATGTATGAACATTTTCATTTGCCAGAATTACAAACAGGTGATCAGATTATTGGACATTCAAAGTTTCAAACAACATAGATATCTTAATGCGGAATAGCTCCTTCCTGGGCCCTTACTAATCTTTGTCATAAGGTATGACATGGCATCACTCTGCGTCCAGCTGGATACAATTCTTTGCCCAACTAGGATCTGACAAAGGTCAGAACTGCTTCCTTTTTTAGGTGAGAACAGGGGTGGAAGCATACTGGATAAGGCTGAAGCCTGATTGGCATTTGGTGCATCGATAGCTTCCAGCTGTTAAAGGGAAAGACAAATGAAGCTTTCAGTACAGCTGGTGAGTTAATTAAAGTTAATGAAAGATCCTACTGAACACATGCAGGAGGTGACAAACTCCTAAGACCTTGTCTATTAAACAGCTCTTATCATTTTCGATACTCCCAAACGAAGTAGTTCCACTCATTACCCAAGTGGGATATTTCAGAGTTGGAATTGCACCCTCTTCGCTTTCATCTTGATCTTGATACGAAATAATCTCCCACTTACTTCGCTGACCTTGTATTCAGAAACAATTAAAATAAGAAGAATCACTAGGAAAGGTTATGGTATTCAACAGTGGCGGAACCAGGAATTTTCTTTGGGTAGGGTCTTCTTGTCTTTCCTTTATTTAAAATACTATAATTATATAGAATGAATAAAGTAAATAAAAAATTAAAATATAAAAAATCAAATTGTAACACAAATGAAGGAGTAAGGATTAGACAAAAAAAAGTTGCATATCCAATTGAAGAATTAATGTGGGTTATTCCATTTTGATAGATTAAAATATCAAAAATACTATAATTACAATATCACTTGATATTATGAATTTATAATATTATATGTTATTATATAATTAAATTTTTTTATTTAAGGGTTTACTTATAATATTATATTTATTTATTTAATACTACATTATACTTATTTAATATCATACCATGATTAGCATTATAACTATGGTATTCTTTTAAAACATATGAATTCTTTTTTCTTCTCCGATAACATCCAAATCTAATCAGAGTCTCAATCCTCCTTTAATCTTTCTCTATTACAATGAATTAAAAATGATTTGTGTAGATTCTCTTTTAAAAACTTTGTGAAGGTATAGTTGGATGGTGTATTGAAAGTTAGTCTGGATAAATTATTAGAGAATCTTAAGAAATTTGTATTGGGTAATACTTGATTTTTAAAGAATCTAATTGAGAGGATATAAAATAAAATTTTAATTTTTTAAAAATGAGTTTCATTGATTTTAAAAGTTCAAATCACTTGAGCAAAGTTATAAAAGTGAAAGTAGCTAGAAACAAAGAAAAAAAATAATTAAAAGTGAAAAAAAAAAAGAAATTATAATCATGAGAAATTATGAATCAAAACATTTGTATTGGTTTTTACAAGGAAAAATAAATTTTACAGTAACATTTTTTAAGATATTAAATTTTTTTGTCTCTTGTATTTTAGTTATTCAAGATATGAGTTACGTATTTATTTTTTTAATTTTCTTTCCACTTCAATATTTTATATTTCTTTTGATTTTTTTTATTTTAGTTTATTAAAATCTTAAATATTTTATTTTTCTTTAAATTCATCCAATTATAAAATAAGATTTAGACAATTAAATCCTTTAATTTCTTTAATTTTTTCGGCCTAAGATTAGGCCCATGCCTAACCTGGGCCAACGTGCTTCCGCCACTGGTATTCAAGTCAAGCCATAATAATAACACTAAAAATAAAGGTAAAACATTTAGCTGTACGCGGAAGAAAACTAATAATTATTGGGTGCTCAGGTACTCGAGATGTTTCCAAACTGGGATAGGCAGGATCGCCCTTTACCTCCACCAGTTGTTCACAGTAATCAATAAAAATTAACAGATGGCACTTCTCTTTTTTTGCTTTTTCCTTCCTGAATACAGGTCATCAGAATGTCTTTGTACTCCATTAATTTTTTTTGGGTACATTCAATGCCGTCATCATTGTGAGCCGCATTAAAATATTATAACTACGTAAATTTTTAAAATATTATATTTTAAAAAATAATTTAAAAATAATTAATATTTATTATTTAATATATTAAAATAATTTATATATTAAGATTTTTAAATATTAAAATTAATTATTTACATAAAAAGTATTAAAATTTATGTAGTATAACGTGGGGCCGTAATAACAATTGTCTTTATTATTTTCTCTCTCCTAAGCTCTTGCTATAGCCTATAAATACCAGTGCTTCCTCTCAATATTACACATCAAAACATCACAAGAAGAGAAAAAAAAAAAGAAAAAAAAAAAATCTCTGCTTTCTTAGTAGACCTTTAGCTATGGCCATCTCTAAGGCTCTGATTGCCTCACTTCTCATCTCCCTCCTCGTCCTCCACCTTGCCGAAGCTCATCAAACGACGAGTAATGAAAGCGCGGTGGCCGGTAACCTTTCGGAGAAAATTGGTAACTATAATATTATAAATATACACAGTTGATGTTATTAACGATTATGACTTGGTTTAAATAAGAAAATTTTGAATGTTAATTAAAATTGCATGACCCTTTTTTGAATAATTGGGTTTTCAGATTGTGGCAGTGCTTGTGATGCCCGGTGCCGGTTAGCCTCCAGGCAAAAGATCTGCAAGAGAGCTTGCGGGACTTGTTGTGCGCGATGCAACTGTGTTCCGCCGGGTACTGCAGGCAACCAGGAGGTGTGCCCCTGCTACGCTAGCCTCACCACCCACGGTGGTAGGCGTAAGTGCCCCTAGAACCAAGTTATCTCTCGATTACTGGTGATGTGATGGACGTACGAATAAAAGTTTGTAACGAATAATCCTGTGTAATAGGGTTGCAAAGGGTCATGGTGTTGATTGACTTGGGAGTTCGTGTTTTGTAATTGTTGTAATGTATAAAGAAAAATAAAACTGAAATAATAAAGGCTTAGTTATATTTTTATTTTAGCTCAAACATGGTTGTAGTTTTGAGTTTTTTATTTTAATTTTCATAAAATTTGTAATTATTAAAAGTTAAAATTAAAATTAAAAAATTAAAAATTTATTAAAAATAAAATTTAACAATAGCAACTAAAAGTAAAAATTGTTTTAACGATATTAAAATAACTTTTGTTACCAATAATTTGTTAATTTAAATAAAAAAATTTAGTTTTTTAAAATAAAATTTTATATTAAAATATTAAATTTAAGTCTTATAAATAATGAGACAAGTTTAAATCTTATAAATAAAAAGATAAAAACAAAGATTGAGAGCTTCTCTTATAGAGTCTAATCCAACTCTAAATTACTAGTAAAAATCTAATATAACTTTCAGATATTAAAAGTTTAATATACAAGAAAAGTTTTTATTTTTATTTTTATAATAATCAAAATAATATGTTGTAAAAACACATTAAGATAACAAATTTTTTGTTTAGTGATGTAAAATTTATAAAAACTAAAACTAAAATTACAACGATACTAAAAAGAACCTTAGTTTTTTTCTATGAGAAACTTTGTTTTATATGTCTATTATACTATGTTGTGTTGTAATTAAAGGTTCTTTTTCTTTTAAAAAAATAAAATTAATAAAAATATATAAATTATTGATTAAAAATAATAAATCTACATGATGGATAAGGAGCATAAGGTATTGTAGTCAAACGAAATCCTAATTTATTCAATGTTGAAATTTCATGCGTACATTTGCAATAGAGTGCACTAGCTAGTGGAAAGCTGGAAAACATTGCACTGATATAGGTGGAGCTGGTATTTTTATTGTATTCCTTAATAAAAATTTGATATTGCTGATAAACGAAAATGATGACGAACGAAAGTGATGGATTGTGGCTACCAGATTGGGACCGCAGGAAGAACCAGAAAGAAATCTATGGTAAGGTTTTCTTTTTCAACCTTGACCTTGGATTTTTTAATCTCTACAGATGGCAAAGAAAATAACGATACAACCTTGTTGACTTCTCTTTTTTTTTTTTTCGGAAATTTTGGCCCTGGATGTCTCTTATTTAAAGGTTATTTGTTTTGACTTTTTATAAATAATTATTAATTATTGACTTTAATTAAATAGTTTAGATATTTTAAATTATGAATAAAAATAATTATTAATTATCAAATATTAACTATTAATATAGACACAATTAATCCAAATAACCCCTTAAATTTTTTAGGTTCATTCTAAACCTAAATGGGTTGAATTAGTAAATTTCAAAGAAGAATTAATCCTTTACCCCTTTCTTAAGAGAGGAACATCTTTTTGGCACACTCGACAAGCTTGTAGAACCGTGCAAAAGTTGAGTTATGCAACTTGATGGAAATATGCAATTAAGATATGTAAAGAGCAGGGTTAGAATCAAGATAAGTGTAAAGTGATATGGGAATATTTTAATTGTTAAAAAAAAGGAATTACTTTTTTTTTTTTTTTTTTTTTGTAGTCCTCAACTTTTATAAGATAATTTTATATAGTAAATAAATCACAACTGAAAAATTTTTTAATTTAAATGAAAATACTTAATAAGAATTATGTATTGGAAAAAAATTTACTATATAAAATTATCTTATCAAATTTTATGTAAATGTTAAAATTGAATAATTATAAATTAGACTGAATTTAACATTAAAATAAAGATAAAGTTTTCTTATGCATAAATCTTATATAAAATCATAGCCCTTCAACTTTTTTTACAAGTGATTAGAATTTATTATAATATTTTAGATGAAAAAAATTAATTTTTAAAAAAAAAATAAAAAGTAAATAAATTTTAATTATTAGTAAGTAAATATATAAAAGAAAATTCTATGTACATAGTCCTTAAACACAAATAACAACTTTATTCACCTTATATTCTCATCCAACTTTACCAAATTAAAACTTAAAAGAAAGTAAGTTCTGTGCTAATTGCTAAACAGCAAATTCACATCATAAAATAGTCATCTTCCTTTCAAGATCTCTTTCCAATATTTTTAATCTTTCATTTTAATAAAATAATAAGACAATATTACTCGTGGGGTTCTGTGAGCATGTTTATCTAAGAACAACCCACCAAACTGTGTTCTCAATTTGCCGACTGCATCTATCATTTGATTGTACTTTAAAATTTTCTTAATCTAATTATTTACTAATTTCTAGCTGGACGAAGGATGTGCAAAAGGAGGCTTCACAATGATTATCGACCAAAACCTGCCCCAATTTCGAATATTGTTCCCCCCTCAAGACAGCTACTTAGCCTTTGCCTCAGCCTCCATTATTGATGGGGGCTTGGCATATGAATATATATCCTGCTGCTTTAGTGCTTTGTATTATTGAGCTTTCTTCTTCATTCCTTTTACCAATATTGGTTCGTCGGCATTCGACAAAGGTGTTAGTCCATTCCATGGCCCTTGACAAATTGACACAACTTTTGTTTCGATCTCTCTTACTATACCTTTATGGGTTCAATTATGGTTTAATTTATTGCAATTAATTGATTTTCGCTTTTGATCAACCAGATTGAAAAGAAAGAAAGATGCCTCAATTTTATGTATTCCAATTTTAGTTGGCAAGTTGTTGGGGCTATTCCCTAGTGCCATCGGTAGCTAGAAGCTGCCTAGAAGAAGAGAACACCAAGCCTGTTATTATTGTTTAATTAGAATAGTACCAATTAATTAAATTAGGCTTTAAATTAGGCTTTAAATTAGGCCATATGAGAAAGGAAGATACTGGGCCTATTTTCTGAGGTAAATTGCCTTCCTCAATTATTATCTCTTACTCCTAAATGGATATGGATGAAAAATGGTTGACATTTAACAATGATATTCATTCCATTGGGTATATATGAATCCAAGTTTCGATTCCTGTGCTGTAGTATTACCCCATCGAAAAGATACTTGTAAAATCAGAAATATACCCACGGGGGAGGAGCTACTCGGAAAGGTAGTCAATAAGATTGAACCACATTTACCAAAAAGATATGGCAGAACGCTACTTTCGTCTCTCCACCAGATATTCCTAGCTATTTCCTCCGCGTACTCATGCCAAATTGCAATCACCAGCCATTAGCTTGCATCCACGCGTCTTTTTAATCATTTTATAATTGTCTCTTTCCTCCATTTCCTCGTATAAATAACAGCCCCCTTCCATCCCTCTAGTCATCCCATCAACAACAAAGCGTAAGCTGTATATAGCAAAAACCAGTACTAGTGCTATCTCCATCGCCTCTGTTTCAGTCATGGCGATCTCCAAGGTTTTCATTGCTTCCCTTCTCATCTCTCTCCTTCTCCTCCAATTTGCCGAAGCTGGTCAGGCCGGAGGAGACAAAATTGGTAACTAACTTTTTGATATTCTTCTTCAATGCAAGTTTCAATTCGTTGCATGTGTGTATGTTATGTATATGGTATATAAAATCTAGCAAGACTCGAACATGGAACTTTAATGACCATGAAAATTTTAGAAAATTGGGCGTTGTTTTCCAGCTGTTGAAAGTTATGATCTTCATTAATTTGATGAATGCATGTTTGGTTCTTTCAGATTGTGGTGCGGCTTGTGCTGTTAGGTGTTCAAAATCCAAGAGACCCAACCTGTGCAAGAGGGCATGTGGAACATGCTGTGCGCGGTGCAACTGTGTTCCTCCCGGGACTTTCGGTAACTATGAAGCCTGCCAATGCTACGCCACCCAAACCACCCGCGGTGGCAAACCCAAGTGTCCTTGAAACCAAAACTACTTATCTCCCTTTGTATCACAAGTTTGTTATGGTATTAAATTGAAACCCACCAATAAATGGAGTGTGACTCAACAAAGGTGTGTAATTCTTATGGTTCATTTGTC